GCTTGCCTCATAGTGATGTTGAGAAGACTTAATGAATAAGATACATATAAAAGGCTCTAAAGGCATTCAGTATGTAAAGGCTATTTTTTGTGTGTCTAGGTACAATAGCCTACACAAATATACTTGGTGGTGGTGATTATGGGGATTTAAGTGTTTTGTTTTGTGTTGTTTGTGTTTCCATGTACCTGTCTTTGGACATTGGTTTATACATAGTAGCATTCAATGAATATTTGTGAGTGATAATAAATTTATGTTTGGATAATTTGATTAATAGTTCCAAACACATTATAATCCATTTTGTTTTTCATTTACTAAAGTATAGACTGCTGTTTGACTAATGTCTGGCTCACCTTTATTAGCACACTATACATGGACCAAGCACTGGTACAATGTGTTTGAAACAGAAGGTTTATTATCTATTCAAGTGCCCTTACTGATAGGAAAAAAATGATCCTCTTTCTGGATGCTTTGCTTTGAGGAAAAAAATAAAAACCTTATGGTTTTCATTACTGATCTGACTTTTGATGAAAATGGCAAATATACACCACAAATTCAGAAATCATGCACAACCCTGGCAACAGTGTGGACACAGTGGAACCACAGAATGTGAATCCCTGCAGTCTTTGAGAGCTGGAAAGCAGACCTGCATATGTTCAGTCCTGGGGAAGGAATAAAACAGGGTACCATAGGAGTGAACTGAGAGCGCTCCGCAGCCTCTGTGAAACACAGGCAGTATAAAATGTCTCTTTGTCCCTACGGCTAGCTGTCCTTAGATAAGGCCCATCACACACCAAAAGTAAGGTAATAAGAATCCTTGAGGAGTGTGAGGAGAGCTTTCTTACCTGTTTAGCCAGTCTTTAGAATATATTAAGCAACAATAACAAATATCCAGCATATTTACTTTCATATTTACATGCACTAAGCTCATTAAGACATCGCACAACCGGTGCCTTATGCTTATTACTGTAGGAAAGGTGTGCTGGCAAAATGGGCTAGTTCAAGGTGACAACATTCATTTGTGATATCCAAAAATAAACTGGGACTCAGGAGTGTAACTGTTGATGTTAAAGTACCGCATTCCTCCCTGATGATGTCAATCAAGGACATGTTTCTCATGTGTAGTAGCTCTCAGGCCTTAGTGGGCCTCAGAATCATCTGGAGGCTTGTCACAGCACAGATTTCTGGGCCTCACTCTCAGGGGAAATTTGAACTGAGTTTCCAAGTGTATTAGGGTTCTTTAGAGAAACAGCTATAGGAGATATAAAGATATAGACACAGATTGTACCAAAAAGATTTGTTATAAGGAAATGGCTCAAATGATTTTGGAGGCTGAGATGTCCCAAGTTTTGCAGTCAGCAAACTGAAGACATAGAAGAGCAGATGGTGTAGTCCAGCTCAAGTTCAAAGTCCTCAGAACGAGTATAGACAATGGCATAAGCTCTGCTCTGAAGGCTGGCATGTGTGAGACTTAGGAAGAGGTGCTACCTGCCTTTGTAGTGTCAGTCTGGAAGCAGGAAAATGAGGCATGTCCAGTTCAAGCAGTCAGGCAGGAGTAATCCCTCAGCATTTTGTTCTAGTCAGTTTTCAGGTGTCTGGATGGGGCCCATCTTCATTGGGGAAGATGCCCTGGCTTTTCTCATTCATGCTAATCTCATGCAGACACCTCTCAGATGCACTTGGAATGACATTTAGCCAAATGTCTGGGCACCCTGTGGTCCAGTCAAGTTGACACAACCAATGAACCATCACAGCAAGGGATGCTGCTACTGCTGGTCCAGGGTCTTCATTTTGAGAACCACTGCTATAGCAGAACTTGCAGCAAAAGTGGAAGCACACAACTTTCTTGCTCTGTATCAAAGACACTATAACAGATGGTTAACAAAAAATGAATAAAATATAGAAAGAGGACAGGGTGGGAGGGAGGATCTCTCCCTCTATCTAATGTCATCAGAGACCCGAGTGGATATTAGAGTTCTAGTGTGACTGGACCTCACTGTCCTCAGCTCTAGGGTTTGACCTAAACCCTTTCAGGTCTTTTATGGCTCTATGTTTAATTTTACTTCTAGCTTAAAGAGGTAGTTCTTAACAATGGTTTAAAATAATTCACTCAAAAAGTAACAACTTATTGCAGGCCTGTTCTGTGTCAGGTGCTGTGCTAAAAAACTTCATAGCTTCATCTCATTTAATTCTCACAATAACTCCATTATTTCCATTTTGCACATGAATAAATGGAGTTCATGTCTTACAGAAGTAGTTAATCTGAGTTACCAAATCAGCTCCCCCTTGCTTCCAAACCTTTGCTTTTACACCGCACAGCATATAGATTTTGTGAATCATTAAGAACAAGTCACCACACCAGGAGGAAAACCTCAAGGTGCTTATAATCTAGTAAGAGATAGACTTGCAAAATTTTTTAGACCTTTATTTTATTTGTTTTTATGTGGTGCTGAGGATCGAACACCAGTGCCTCACACGTACTAGGCAAGCGCTCTACCACTGAGCCCAACCCCAGCCCCTAGGCTTGAAATATTTTAAAAGAGGATTGTTGGGGCTGAGACTGTGGCTAAGTGGTAGAGCGTTTGCCTAGCATGTGTGAGGCATTGGGTTCAATTCTCAGCACCATTTTATAAGTAAATGAATAAAATAAAGGTCTACGCATCTAAAAAAATATTTTAAAAAAACAAAGAGGATTGTTAAGAACGTCAGTAGAATGTGGGATAAAAGCACAAAGTTGTACAGTAGTTTGGAGAGCACACTTTTGGGACCAAGGTCTTCCCATTTCCATCATTTACAAACTGTATTACCATTTTGAAGTTACATAATTTCTCTGCCTTGGTTTCCCCATCTATAAATACTTACCTCAGTAGAGATTTTATAACCTTATAGAATCACATCCTTATAGGACTAAATGAGCCTATGTAGGTAAAGCATTTACACAGTACCGTTCATAAGGCAATCAGTATGTGAATGGTTATTATTATTACTACTATTATTTCCCTAGCACCTAGCTGAATACCTGACACATGGAAGATACTTTTTATATGTGCGTTGAAGGATAATAAGACTGTTTTTCTAGACATAGTAGCAATTATCTATATGGCAATTAAAGTTTGCTGTATACTGACTGACCTTCTGGAAACTCATTCTCAGCCTTTGGGTAGCTACTTCCATCCCTCAAGGCACCAATTTCAATAAAAGTTCTTACTACCTTTCACATACCTGCTCATTGCTGGCTCAGTGATATTATATTAATATGGCTTTGATGTACTATATAAATACAGAGTAAGAACATGAGGCAAAATCTTCAGATTCTTAAATGCCTGACAATTTTCAGTTCTTGTAGCTGCAGATATTTGAAACTTTGGAGAAAATAACCAGGAAGAACTTCCAAATTTGCTTTTTAATCAATGCCCTCTGTATGAATTGCAGGCGATGACCTCTTGTTTTGCTTGTCAGGTCAACTTAATAAAAAATCACTTGGAAACTCAAAACTTCACTCATCCTTTCTTTTAAAAATGGCACATTGCCAAAGAATTCATAGCAGTGCACACAGAAGTGAGAGCTGTGGTTTGTTCTCTGACATTTGAAAGTCTACCTGAGCTCTTTAGCACATGGGTACTGAATATTCAACAATCTTCTGAAATTTCCAGCACTGCTGCTTGCTTCAGCACTTTAATTCCTAGGATATGCCAGGATTGCACATTAGCATTTAAATGGACAGCCAAGTCCTACAGAAACTTCATGATATATGTCACACCGTAACTGGCTTCAACTCCTTCAGGGGCTGTGCAGTTTCTTTGCCTTGTCTGATGTTCCAACTTCTCTTTCAACTTTTGCCTTTGTGGATTTGGGATGATCAGTTATCTGCAAGATTTATAACCAACAGCTTTGAAGTTGGACAGACTTATGGTGTCAACATTCTGCAATTCAAGAAAATTCTCTTTCTCCTTTAGGATGTAGTGTTGTGTTTTTCTCGCGGCTGACTGCTCCCTTTGATATAATAAAGAAAACTTCAGTTCCCTGAGTTTCTCTTAAAGGGGAAAAATTTAAATCAGTCCTTCCAGTTTGGTACGAATTGGTATAGTAGCCCTGACTACAGTGTATCCCAAGGCTGGCTCAAAAAGGGTTTCTTCTGCATACATCCAGAATCCACAGCTGCTTGTGGCTCAGCAGCAAAACCACAAGACATTAACTACTGCAAGTCTTTTCATTTTGATGTGATTACCTGCTTATTGAAATTCAGCTTAAATGACGGATTCTATTCTTTGACCTGGGGAGTGTGATGAAGATGACTCTTATTAATATTCTTAGACGACCTCAATGTCTTGCCTTGGCAATAAAATAATGGACCCAGGACCTAAAGCTGTGGGCTGAATACTATAGAGGCATGCAGTCACATAACTTTCCAATCCGCTTTCCTTTGGGATGCTGCACAAGGCATTCAGTAGGGATCAATTTCATAACATCCTCTAGACCTGTGCTGCCCACAAGGTACTCATTTGCCACGTGTATCTACTTAAATTTCATCTCAAGTTGAAAATTCAGTTCCTCAATTACATTGTTCACACTTTATGTATCCAGTAGCTACACTTGCCTCCTGTGTTAGGTAGTGTAGATAGAGAATACTTAAATTATTGTAGAAAATTGACTTATTTCAAGCCATAGAATTTAGAAAGACCTAAGAGCAGCCATTATCCTGATATTTCCAGGACTGAGGGATTCCTGGGTTATGAGGATTTTGGTGTTAAAATTAGGAGAGTCTCTGGAAAATTGGGGGAGATCATGGACACCAGCACATGTGTACTGCAGGCATCTGTGACATCATTTCTAAGTCTGCTCCCTAAAGGATGCCATATATTAACTGATCCGGTTGAAGCAGGCAGTATTTGGAGAGCCGTAGTAGAAGAATAAGCTAAAATAATAAATGGGAACTCAGTTTTTAATTTTTATCAAAAGGTAGAAAGTTCACAGGAACAAGGCAGACTATCCAAACTACCACAATGAACAAAATGATGCCGCTCATTGAAAAGGAACACGTTTTAGAAGTAGCCCACAAGGTTAGTAACAAATAATCTCTTCGCCTTACCCTGAAGTCTAGCTTGAAAGGCACATGTGTGTTAGAGATGACTGGGATGTTTATTGGCAAATCAGGTCCCCTGTTGTATTAACAAGCAGAGTTCTGTTGGGTTATTTTCTACAAATAAATAAGTATATATTTCAGAGTCACTGAATTTAAGAACTGAAAGAAGTCTTAAAGTTCTTCTAGTCCAACCCAATTTTGCAGGAGAAGGACCTAAGGCCCAAAACACCTGAGTGCCTTCTCCAAGATTCTATAGTGAGAGTGAAAGCCTTCATCATTTTTCCAAAAATAAAAGGCAAAAAGCAAAACCACAGAATAAATTCCTGCAAAGAAGTAATGGCATTTTAATAAGGTGGTACATTTTTATTTCTTCCCTGATTGTTGTTTAATGTTGTTAAAAAGCATCTTACTTCATATCATTTCATATTTGAGGTAGCTTTCTGATGAGAAATTACTAGCAGGCATAATCTTAGTAAATATGGTTTTAACATCATTGAGAACTAACAGTGTACTGGATATTTCTGATGGGTCAACATTACCAGATGGCAGAGGAACGCAGAACTATTTCAGTCTTATTTTACATCAGCCTCTGTAACTAGGTGTGAAAACTTAAGGAACAAAGTATA